CTTCAGATACAACTTATAAAGCTGATACAACTTATACAACTTATAAAGCCCACGCCTACTCCATTCAACCCCGCAACCTCCAACAGGATTGGGTTTAGAAATTATTGGTTTATTAGATCTCTCTCGCCTAAAATTTGGTCACTTCAGAGCTCTCTTGTTCTAATCAATCAATAATTTAATGTGCGTAATATTGTAGTGTTTTTTTTGTCAAGTGGCTCAACAAACGTTTAAAGTTTGATATGGTTACTTTTCCCTACATTCGACCTAAAAAAATTAGCTCACTGAGTTTTCATATATTTTATTTCAGTTATCCTCAACTGATATTAAAAATTTTGAAGAAAAATTATTACAAGTAGAAAATCTTTTAATTGAACAAATGTAAGCTTCAATATATTCTAATTTAATTATAAATAAAATTAAGGCCAAATGATAGTAAAAGTCAATTTGCTAATTATCAAAATAATTTTGTCAACTCGATTTTGGAATTGCCAATTGTCAAAGGCTTGGTAAAAGGAAAGAAGAAAATAGTCTGAAATTGAAATTTTAAAAATTTTTTTAAAGAACAAACAAAGAAAAGCAATCGAGTTTTATCGATAAATTTTAAGTCGTAGTTTAAATTATATTAGATATTTCTATATACTTTTATACAACCCACATATGGTTGATTTCAGGCATAAATTTGTTCATGTCATTTAATATGAAGAAGCTCCTACAGAATTTTATACTCAACTACGTTACTGAACTATTTTTTAACATTTATCCCCGACCGAACCTTGCCTCAAAAAGTGAAAACTCCGAACTATAAATTGAAAGATAATTTTTAAAAATAATAACTATAATTTTCCGATGATAACTATAAGTTCTATAAGATCAACTCTCAGGTATAATGAAGAAAAGTCCAATAAAAATATTTTTAAATTCATCTTCTGAATAAATACTAACATGGGTTAATGGGTAAAGGAATAAAATAGGGGGCTCACTTTACTGTGATTGATAAATGTGAAATAAGTTGGGTTTATATACAAGAGAAAATGGGTGGAAAAGTGCTGTCTAATAATGATAGGGAATAGGTAAATGTCGGGTATTTTTATTTTTAATCTTTTGTCTAGAAACTATTTAGATAATTTTTTCGCTATAGTGACAGATGAGCCTCACGCCATTTTTTGATGTGATTTGCAGAAAAGAATAAGACATCTTTTTAACACCCTCTTTTTTGCCTTAGCCAACTTTTTTAAATATATTTTTGTCACTTAATAATTTTAATAAATAAATAAATTTTGTTTTCTTTGAAAATAATCAATTTTTCCTGACTTTAAAATAATTTTGGTCTTTTGATTGTAAGAAAGATAAGTTTGGCTGGAATTTAGAATATATCTTGATTTTGATAAAAATAAAATTATTACGTCCCTGTTCTTCTATTTTAAATAAGTTTACAATCTTCTTTTAAATACTCAAATAAATCTACTCACTCAGACAATAATTATACACAATTTAATTAATAAGTTTATTTAAGTTTGGTTGGGGTTAGGTTTTGGGAGCAAGTGTGATTAAGACGAGCGTGAAAGGTAAAAGACAAATAAGTATTTATAGGGTAAGGAAATGGGCGGAAGAAGGTCAGACGAGAAAGTTGTAAAACATAGATAAGAAAATAAATTATTTAAAATAAATGAGAGGAAGTTTTAAGATCAAAGTAAATGTTTGTTTTGAGGGAATGTTTTGAATATTTAAAATGAGAAATAGATAACAAACATTTACAACATATTTTGGGGCAATAAATATTTGAAAATAATATTTTAAAAATAATTAATAAATTGTCAAATATATGGATCCAACAAAAATTAAGCCCAGAAGTTTCAGATTTTAGAACGTAATTATTTTGGAAGAATTTTGGAACGTGACGAACTTTTCTTTAATGCAGATTTTATGTCCAAAAGTTTATGACAAAAATGGATATAATATTTACCTCACAAATTTATTTATTAGAAAAGACAATGCATTTACTAAAGAAAGATGATAAATACGGGTAAATTTTATCTGGGGGAGGGAATAGATGGTGGAGAAAATAGAACCATCATTTGGACGGGGGAGGGAATAGAACCATAACAGAATGAGCTAGAACAATCACAATCATTTTTGACAGAAAAGGATGTCCCCTAAATATTAGTTCAAATTTTCGGATAAAAACCAATGTTAGTAATTCAACAGCTAAAATTCAAGATAAAGATTTTAGGTTAGTTACTGAGAGATTTGAGGCAAAAATAGATACCGTATTTATTCTAAAATAAAGACAATTTCTATTATAGCGACAGTCTCTAATAAAACGACATGTAGAAATTAGGCATATCAAAAGGATTAGGCATATCAATTCCATATCAATAAAATTAGGGGGAGGGAATAGAACCATAACAAAATGAGCTAGAAAAAAAAAATTAGTCACCCGATAGTTATAACAAACGGTCATGATAACTTTATCAAATAAATAAGAGTTCGTTGATATTAGTGAAATTCAACTCAGCTAAATAGAAGAGCTCTGTAAAATCTTATTGCCAGAAAAAATAGAAAGAAAAAAGAGGCCTGGATCATTAACCTTGATATTTTTATCGTGATCCGAGCATAGATCTCTAGTTAATAAGCCTTCTTTTTTATTAGTACGTTCATAGTAATTTTTAGAAATAAATTTAGATAATGAAATTGAGGAGCTTATAGGTATTCGAAAATCCAAATTCGAAAAAGAGGTAGATAATTTAAATGAAAAATTTTTTGATGTAAATGATGATATCGATAGTTTGGAGGATTTGGATGATAAAATTATTGAGATGAGTTTTTTGATGAATTATTTTTAATTAATAAAAATCGGGTTCCCTTTTTTATGCTATTAAATAATGTTGTAGGATAGTCCGGATCCGATATCCGAACCGAAAATTTCTGGAGATCCGGTTTTTTTCGGATCCAGGATTTCGGATTTCCGATCCGACAACAATAGAATTAACTCTCTGCAGGTAAATTGCACATTTTCAAAGAAAAATTTTTGCAATAAATGCGGCATTTTTGGCAGCATTCGCGTTATTGCGTTAGGTATTTTTGAAGACTTCGAAAAAATGGCGTCTGGCGCGCCATACAAAAATTTTTGTCCACGGCCCTGAGTTGAAGCATAAAAGGAGCCCCTTCAATAATTAATTTTATTTTTAATTTGAGGGAAAAAACACGGAGGTTTTGCCTTTAGTAATTAAGGAAAAAGAAGAAAAGAAAATTAAAAAATTTTCTGAAGAGATTAAAAATGCTTTACACGAGCATAAGGAAATTTTAAAATTTTTTGATGATTTGAAATCAACAAATGATCAAGATGAAAAAAATATTTTTGATTCAAATATGGATGAATTTATTGAATTAATTTCAACGAAAAAAATATTTTTATTAGGTTTGCTGTTTAAAAAGTAAACAACGAATGGGCATTCTACTGGGTAGCATGACATAGTACCGCTAGCCCAGCATACCTAGAACTACAACATCTTACAGAATTGAATAATCCTGGAGAACCTGATGTGGTTCGACTCGTCGAGCAGAATAATTTTGATCGAGGCATGCCGGATTCGACAATTCTGATCGAGGTTATGGTATACAGAACTATGGATCTAGCCGATCATTCCTAATATTACTTATAAAATAAAAAATTTACTTCCTTATATCACTCTATCCCAGGACAATTTTAAATTTTTAGATAATATTACATTTAATGGCAAAAAACAAATTTATTTATATGGAACTGGACGCCCATTAAATAACGATTTCAGTAAATATTTGACAGAAAAATTTCAAAAGTTTGAGAAGGAAAAGCAATTTTTCGCAGCTGAAGAAGCAACACTTTATAGCTGGCATATTTATAAAGCTGTTTCTATAATTATTAGTGAATTGGCAAAAAATGTTAAGAATTTTGAGGTTTTTAGTTATAATTATAAATTAAGATACCCACCCCACTCCTTGAGATGTTGAGGTATTTTTGCGTCTACACAGTGATAGATTGCATGTTCGATGCCTGCCTGAAATTATAAACCCATGTCCATATAATCGGATCTAAATAAAGATGGAATACTGAAAATTCAGCCATAGTAAATTGGAAGGTTGAATTTGTATGCTTACATCACACCATTCCCAGCGATATCCCCTCCGCGAGGAATGGATGTAAATTATTCTCTATCTCCTTATTAATATCCCTCGAATAACTTTGTTAAAATGTTTATGGAATTGCCAATTATGAAAGGCATGGTAAAAGGAAAGAAGAAAATAGTCAAAAATTAACACTCTAAAATTTAAAAAAAACTGACAAAGAATGACAATCGCATTTTAGTGATAAAATTTTTAGTTATTCAAACGGAGAAAGTTATTTATTTTTAGTATACATAGTTTATGTAACCACCATTAGTTGATTTAAGCATTTAGAGCATTAAGTTGTTTATAAGTATTATGAAATAATCAAGTATCCCCAACTTGGGGGCAGGTGACGAGTTACAGATCCCCGATACACCATCCTCTCTCTCTTATATCTTTTGGTGAAATATGGAGGTTTAGTATATAAAAAGCTGTCTTCAATGCCAAAATTCAAATTCAGAAATCTGCCCAAAATTCAGAAATTTTTGAAGAAAGACTGTTATTGCAATATTCTACCTTTATTCTAATTAATTCACTAAGCTCGCGCTAAGATGGCGTGAACCAAAACTTTATAGTTCCTCACATATTTTGGGTTTTAAATTTTAAATAAATTTTGTTAAATAAATTGATTGTGATCGTGCATTTTCTCAATGATCTATGCACTTATAAAATTTTGAATATGTAATTGTTTACTTCTCAAATATCGTTTCACTTAAACTTTTCAAAATAAATTTTATTTTAAATATTTATGAATGCGCTACCAACTAATTAAAATTTAAAAAAATTAAATTTTGGATATGTTTGCATTGCAAAATAATTTATGACATTTCACTCATCTCACTTCTTTTAAACTTTAACTTCTTCCTTTTATTCTTTCTTCTTCTATTCTTCAACCTTTTCTTTCTTTTTTTCATTAACTTCAATCTTCTCATCTTTAACTTCCTCCTTCTTTCCTTCCTTCATTTCATCTTTAATCTCTTTCTCTTCCACCTTAACATCTTCCTTCTGCTCATCCTTAGCTCCCTTATTTTTCTCATTATTAACTTCCACGACCACCCCTTCCTCTTTTTCATCTTCAATCACATCCTCTTCCATCTTAACCTTTTCCTTCTGTTCATCACTAACTCCCTTCTTTTTCTCATCTTTAATTTCCTCCTTTCCTTCCTTCATTTCATCTTCTAACTTTTGCTTCATCTCAACCTTATCATCTTCACTCTTCTTATCACTAACTCCCTTCCTTTCTTTTTTAACTTCAGTCTTTTTATCTTCTTTCTTCTTATCTTCATCCTTTTCAAACTTAACTCCCTTGTTTTCCTTTTTAGCATCCTTCTTTTCATCTTCTTTCTTCTTTTCATCGTCATTCTTTTCTTTCACTTCAATTCTAACATCTTTATCCTTTACAAACTTCACTCCCTTTTTTTCACTCTTAACATCCTTCTTTTTTTCATCATTTTGCTTCTTTTCATCTTCATTCTTTTCTTTAACTCCCTTGTTTTTCTCATCTTTAACTTCATCCTTCTTTTCTTCCTTCTTCTTATCTTCAACCTTTTCTTTCGCATCAACCTTAACATCCTCCTTCTTTACCTCTTGGGAAGAAACTATCAATTTATTCAATTCTTCATCTCCAAGTTTATTATAATAAATAAATGCTCCAGCCAGGAGATTTTCTACTACAATTGAATGTGGAAAAGCTTGAAGTATTTCAAGTTTATTATCGTTCGAAAAATTTATTATTTCAATGGGATTACGTTTAAGTTCATTTCCAATTCCAGTTTCGACAATTATCAAGTTTTTAAGCTTATTTTCTTTTTTATAGCTATTTATGATTTCCTTTGTCATGTCAAAGGGACCTTGAAAAAATAATTTAAAAATTGTTAAAAAAATAATTAGATAGTATTTCAGACCTGCTCATGGACACGGATTTTGGTATACGTATAAGATACAGGAGGATATCTGCAGGCATCTGTATATTATTTTATCCATATCCGTGACCATGCATAGGTCTGAGTTTATAATACTAATGTCTATTTGGGTCTTGCAGCAGAAAATAAAAAAGGAGAGTAAGCTAGCCATATCCGTGACCACTTTTACATATTATCCTTCTGCTGCAAAATGCAAGCGTTTTTTATGTGAACAAGTATAAGCATATGTGCATAATCATTTCTATAACTACATGCAAAAGCATATATCGTATGCTGATATACAACAAAAATATAGGGTTACAATTAGGGTTCATCTATATGGGTTTCTAGATCCGTCTACTAGAGATCCCCCACCCCTCCTAACCCCCAGATCATTTTTAAGGGATACGCATGTATAAAATTTCATTTCTTTGATGGTAAATATAGTAAATCATAATGAATAAATGCAAAATTACATTCTAGCATTATAATTAATGTTGCTTCATCCTCCTCCATTTTATCAACAATTGACGGAATTTTGTATAAATTTGTAGAAATTTTATTCTTTCTAACCTCTGGAATTATTGCACTAATTTTATATTTTCCTTCAATATATTCTTTTTCGCTTTCATTTATATATAATTCCTCAACTGTTCCAATAATGCTATTATCAGAAATATTTGTTCCAGATGATGAAGCGATGGCTTTCCCTTTGTGTTTTAACTTTATTTCTTCTTCCTTTTTTGGATTTTGAATATTATCAAAATGCTCAATTGTCTGAAAATTAATTAAACATTACTTTTATATCTAATTAAGCGTGACCGTTGGGCCTCGAGAGTTGGGCGAACAATGAAAACTCCTTTCTTTTTTTACTCGATAAAATAAGGTGTACCCAAAAATGGGGCGTGGCAGGGGGACGCGACCGCCTCTCTTAAACTTTTTGATGCAAAATGAGCTTGAATTTCTTGGCGAGTCCTGTACCAAATATTTATACTGTGGAAAATATTTATACTAAATTTATATTAAATATGATATTCTTGACGGGGTGATGTAATGCATATTTTCTATTCATGCCAAACGTATCTAATTACTCTATTTAATTAACAAACCAAAATTTGGACAGCAAATTGATAAACTGCTCGAATCTGTGAAGATTTGATAAACAATTTTTTGTATTTCTCCGAAAACGACAAAAATACTTCTCTAGCTTTATTTCGACCTTTGTCTTCCCTGTATAAATAATGATTTGAATGGCCATGCATGCTTCCAGGGCCTATTAAACGAACATAACGTAATTTTCTTCCTTGCAAAGCTCTTTTAACGTTCTCAAGAAATTCATTTCTGTCAAAATAAATTTATAAAATTAAAAATATTGTTGTAACACGAAGGTTTGGGGCCAGATTATCGGCGAAGAATATTTCCAATTTATATGTGGTCTAGAATTAAGGGGATGGTTTTACCCTAATTTAATTTTTTTGTCATTCTTGACGGGGTGGGGGGGGGGGGGGGTGTAAATGTTTTTTTTCACACAGTATCATTCTAGAGGGGCCATTAGAGGTGGACTCCGAATGAGTCCACATTAGAGGTGGACTCCGAATGAGAGGTGGACTCCGAATGGAGTCCACCATTAGAGGTGGCCAGTTCGGCACCATTCGGAGTGCACCTCTAATAAAAACTACTTAACAATGTATTTTCTTTATCTTTTAGTAATTTTTCCTTTGCTTCATTCACCATTTTGTCATACTCCCCAGTTTCTTTTGGTTCCTAAAATTTGGATTTTTTAAAATTTTTTTTTAATAAATAACCTCAAGGTAACTTTTCAAATAATCAAAACCTGGAATTTTTATTCAAATTATTTTTATAATAATTTAAATAAAGACAAACGTTCCCAATCATCCAAATTTTTCATTTTAAAATCACGAATGGCTTTAACTACTGGATCTATTACTGGTGGATTTTGAGAAGAAGAACCTTTTTCTTTTTTCTTTGGTAACCTTTTCTTCTTCCCGGCTTCACAAATAGTTAAATAAACAAAAAATATTGTTAAAAATATTAATATTATTTTCATTCTTGAAAAATTAAATATCAATATCTAAATAATAAACAGATAAAAAATCGTCAAATGGTCATTTTAGGACAGTCTAAATGACTCCCTTATTTGTTAGGACAGAAAATTATAAAAAACTACCTATCAACTCCCTAAATCAACCCTTAATTCAGCTCTTTTGCGAAACGATGTCTACCTAATGAAAGGTCAGCATCATTCTAGTGCATATTCTGGCATCTACTTCTTTCTATTAATTACCCCCCTTTAGTGAAAGTTTAATAATAATACACTCCTCAAAGCCCTTATTACATGTTAAATTTTCAAAACTCGAATAATTGCCTTCCCTCAGATATTTAATCCATCAAGTTGAAAGCAGAGTTCGATCGGAATTCTGATTTCTGACATTTTTTGTTCCGATTTCCGAAATTTTGGCAAAATTTTCGATTTCCGAAAAATTTTTGAAACAAATTTCCGACTAAAGATATTTCCAAACTTATGTCTGTGGTGCTACAAAGATCCGATCGTTCTCTGGTAAGAACTTGAAACTTAACTAGATATTTATTCAAAAAATTTATGCAAGAGTAATTTATTCGGATTATTCAGGATAATAATAAATCGACTAGTCCTAAATCACTTTTATCTGATTAGCTCTCAATTCATTTTGCCTTATCTCTTTTATACTGGCCAATAAATATTTCTTGGATAAAGCCAAAATATCAAAAAATGAAAATATGCCCTTTCTATTAATGCCCTTTATTTATTTCAAAATATTCTTTATATCGGCTTCCTTTAAAGTCGGCAAAACTCTTTTATATCTTATCTTGTGTTATTTATTAAAAGTGCATATTTCAAAATATTTTACAAGATATACAAAAATCGGCTTTATCATCCTTTATGTCTATTTTACATTTCTCTGAATATATTTTTATAAGTGCAAATCTCTTTATAAAAAAACAAAAAGTGCAATAATTTTGAGCCAAATTAATCCAATTCTCGATAAGATACAATTCAATCCATTTTAATTTAATTTAAATGGAGAGCCGACTAGAGACCGAGAATATAGAGATCGAGATTTTTTAAAAGCCTGGACCTGTTCCTGGAGTTTGATTTATTGACCTGGGCCGAATCCTGGGCCTGTATTCCAGGAAAAACCCAGGCCAGTAAAAACCCAGGAATTTTTTACCTGGGCCCAGGTTTAACTGGTGGATTTTTAGATATTCAATAAAGTATCAAATTTAAATTAAATTGTATAATAGAGGGATTAAGAGGGATATCTAGAGAATTGAGGAATATCGAGAAATTTAATGGGATTTTAAAGGTTAAGGTGAATATCAAGCGATTTAGAGGGATTAAGACGGATATTGGCGATTTGGATGAATTTTGAGGGTTTAGGCGGATTAAGTTGAATATCGGGTGATTTTTGCTGGGATTTCGGGGATATTCGACGATCTAGAGGATATCAATAGAAATGAAAAAAGTGGGGCAACTTCAAAATTACCAAATTATAAAAAAAAAGAGAAAATGGACACAGCGCTCGGAAAAAGTTAAGTTCTTGTGCCATCATTTCTTCTCAATTTTCTTTTCCCAAAACTCTCCTCTATTTGCCGTAGGAACAAAATCAAACAAAAAGGATCATCTGACGAGGAAAACTTTATATGGTCTGTCAATAATTTTACACACATAATAATTAGCACATCAAGACTGAACAATGATGCAAAAAGATCGTGATCTAAGAAAATCAACAAATTTTATGAACATTTTTATCTTTTTAAAAATTAGGGCATTTATCAACTTCAATGCCTCGAAATCTTGCTTTTCCAGTGTGTAGATCTTAACGGAGTGTACCTATTTATTTTCAACGAGTTGTTACAGAAACCACATGAAAAAGGAACATTTGCATTTTATAGTTAATCGTAGTGATCAGCAATAGCTTCGTTTCGACTTTTCTTATTTTTTAACTTATATAGGCGGAAATTGTTTACATCGTTTAATATTACATGTATAATGTGAAAAGAGAAAATTTAAAAAACCCGAAAATAAAAAATCAAAAAATGTTTTCTTCCACAATTCTTGTAATTCCTTTACTTTTAATTACTATCATTTTCTTTTTTGTCTTCGTTCAGTAATTTATAGTAAATTTTAGTCTCGTTTGGTAAATAAAAAAGTTTTGTTAGATTATCGTCTGGAAATGCTTTAATAGACGAAGAAAAGTATTGACGATATTGGTTAAGAAAATCAACAGGGTAGCTCAATGCAGATTCCACAAGTATCAAACTTCCAAGCATATGTTTTGAATTATATGTGTCGATTATATTTATTGTCATTTCGGGTGGACCTTTATTTAAAATTTTATATTAAACAATTATTAATAGTGTACGGTATAAGCAGTATTTTTCCCGGTGTACCGGTACGAGAATAAACCACGGTATTTTCTGGTATTTTTGAAATTCACTTTCTTGATCTTGCAAAATTCTCAAATTTTTGTCTTGTCTTTTGACAAGCTACATATGTTTTCACAGAAAATATTTTTTTTAAATCCGGACCCTATTTATTATCCTATATCATTTTAAAGGGTGTATAGACTTAATTGGTTCCCGAAAATCGTACAATTTTATCTGCCATCCCCGACATTCTCAACCACGGCTAAGAGCTTTCGACCCTAAAGGATTGGAGTCCTCCCTACCCAATAATTAAAAATTTCAAAGCATACATTGTATCATTAAGATCAATGTAGCCTCATCGCTTCTCAATTCACTAACAGGTTGTGGAATTTCTTTTAAATTTTTTTGTTTATTCTCAGGCTTTATTCCAAAAATATTGTATTTTTCTCGTAAATATTTCCTTTCATATTCTATATTTAGATGCATGTCTTCGAAAGTTGCCATAATTTTTTCAATTCCTTCAAATTTTCGATTGTTTATTTTATTAAAATGCTCAATAACCTAAATTTATATAATAATTTATATGTGAATGAAAAGTTTAGCTTCGAGAAGGTATCGTCCTTACTGTAGTACTGTTACATTCTATCATCATGTAAGGTAATTTGCCATCTACTTTCACGTTATCTTTTAATAGATCTTAAATCCCTGTGGAATAAGCCTGTAAATAATAGTCATGCTATTATCTTAATAATATGTATTATGTCTTTAAAGTTTAACTATGGCAAGTCAGTTATAGTTGAAGCAGCATGTTTTATATTACTTATGTTATCCAGGCTAATCTGGGAGAAAAACTTCCTCCGTGAATTGGCTAACTCACGGACGCAAGAAGATAGCAGGATATATATCATATGTATTAATTAAATTACCAAAAGTCCCAATGCAAATTGGTATATTGCCGTAATTTGTGAAGACTTTAAATATTTCTTTTTATAATTGTTGTCCAACTTTTCAATTAAAATTTTCCTTTCAGTTTTTGCAATTTCATTATCGTCATAATCAAAGTGATCGAGATGCCCATACATACTTCCTAAACCTATCATACGAACATAACGCAAAGTTCGCCCTTGTAACGCGTGTTCAACTCCTTTGACAAAGACATCTCTTTAAATTATTTAGAATATTAATTTAACTATTTTTCTAACCTAGATAAAATATTTAAATATTTTAAAGTGTTCATTATCGATAATTTGATAAGGCGTTTTTAGAACGCAGGTCTAAATCAGCGAACTTTTGAAATAACTACGTTCAGCATTATCGAATCGCGGGCACCCTAATATGGTTCGCTACATGCTGCTTCGTTGAATGAAAAATTAGCACATATACTTTTAATAGGCGATAATTTTAAACAAGTTATCACAAAGGTTTCTAAAATAGAAGGTTGAGATTAGAGGATATTAGAGGATATAATTAGAGGATACACAGTAATTTGTCATCTAAGATTCGAAAAATTTAAAAGTTAAGCAGCGGAGCTATAGCTATTTCTCTCCTTTAATCAGCGGCTCTTCAGTCTGTTGTGTTATTCATTACACTACGCCGCTTGTTGCACAGCTTAGGAAATATATAGCTATATGTTTATCATATGTTTAAGCCTGGAGTGAAAAGTTATTTTTAATTGTCAATGAGTTATTTTTAAATATCTTCAGAACCCCCAAATCCAGTAAATCTAAAATTCAGTTTCTTTAATGCTAATTTTTAAATTTTAATTTGTTAAACAAACATTAAATCCTCATCTAAAGGGATATTCAAATAATCAATTGCTTCATTGACCATAGCGTCATAATCGTCATTTGTTTTAGGGTTCTTAAATAAAATTTAATTTTAAAGAATAATTTATTATTCTTTAAAACAAAACCTCAATATAACTTCCTTCCAACATGTCATAGCCTAAAATCGTTGATTTTCAAAAAAACTTATTAAAAAAGCTATCCAAGACCGGATATTTTAAGACAGAAGATCGAGATATGATCTCAAAGTCAAGAATCAACATCAAAGTGGATAGCTCATTTTGGCATCCCAAAGTTGTTTATAGAGCCAGGTATGGGTATGGATTGAGCATTCTTCCATGTACTATTTTCCATCTATTTATGTGTGAGCCGAAATTGAACCGGAAACTGGCTTTTCAAGTTATGGATCACTCCTGTTTTTCCATTGGTTATTTACCGTCCTCGATTTAAATTTTTCGAAATCATACTATGTAACAGTGATCCTGCCGACAAAAAATTAAAATTTCCGATTGCGGGAAATCAGGATCCCGACCCAAAAAATCGACGGGAATTCCCGATTTCCCTTCTATGTACATAATATTAATCGCGGTCTAAAATTTATTTTAGATTACCTTCCCAGTTATCCAATTTATTTTTTAGATCTAATATTTGTTTTTCTATTTTCTCGTGTTCTTGAATATTTAAAGTTCTTGAAGATTCCCCGACATGTTTTTTTCTTTTTTGTGGTCGTTCATTTCCATTTTTCCCGGCGTTTCCAAATTGTGTTAAAAATAGTGTTAAAATTATAAATAAAATAAACCAAGATTTTTTGTTTTTCATTAATTTAAAAAATAAAAAAACTAAATTAGAAAAAAATACATACATAAAATAAATAAATTACTACATTAAAGCGTTTGTCTCATTACCCAATGCCTACTAATTCACTAAAAATCCTCCTTACTTAATACTAATCCCCTTGAATCCCCCATTTGTGATAGCTTATCCCTTGGTTACAAACGCATTTACGGACAAAACAAACTTTTATATATAAATTGTTTAATTAAAATTAAATAAAATCTCCCTTTAACACGCATAGCTATTATTAATTGACTGCCTGACTAAATTGCCCAGATGCCTGATGCTATTAAATCGAGTGCGTCCTTGAACATAAAAGATAAGAGGAGAAAAGAAGGAAAGATACACGCGATTTTGTCTCTCTTTTTACTGTATACTATTTCTATGCAAGACGCATGCGTTTTCATATGATTGCCAACTAAACGTAAAGACAGAATTCATGGCAACTGCCATGCTCGGCGGGGATGGGCCGGCTGCACTTTAATAACGTAAACGGTGAATGCGCAGAAACATAAATGGCAAACAAATCGCGGGATCAAAGGTTTAGGTGAAATATTTGTAAGACAGAAACGTATGAAACTCCTTTTTATTTAGCACAGCAGTGAAAATCTTAGAGTTTTGGAGCGCCAAATAATATTTTCAAAATAATAGCCGCTATTTGATTCTGTAAATGGACTGAAAAGAAAAAATTTTAAAATTTCGGAAGCGGATCGTGAATGGTCTAGAAAAGCAGAATTCGGTAAAAGAATTCTGCAATTCGGAAATCTGCACGAAGATTTAAGTGTATATTTTTAAGAGAAAATATTTTACAATATTATATAAGTATTTATGTCTGTCTAAATATATAATTAATCATGGCCCGATTTGAACATTAATTTAATCATTTAACATTAATAATCATTAACAAATCATTAAACATTAATTATTTAACATTAATTAATTTAAAATTACAAACATAACACAAAAAAATACATAAAAAATTTTTGTCGACAGATTCAATGAAATTTTCTTAAATTTTTACAACTTTGCAAGTTTCGACACCTCTACTAATCACAATCTATTTAATTTTATAACCATCATTTTCTTTTTCTTCTTCAGCCACTACATTATAGTAAATCCTTGTTTTTGTAGGTAAATAAAAGAGTTGTGTTAACATAATTTTTGGGAATGCCACAATAGACGATGAAAAACTTTGACGATATTGGTTAAGAAAATCAACAGGGTAGCTCAATGCAGATTCTACAAGTATCAGGCTTCCAAGCATATTTTTTGACTTATATGTGTCGATTATATTTATTGTCATTTCAGGTGGACCTTTAAAAAATTTTTTTCAAATAAGTGTTAGTAGAGCCCAAAGGGCCCAGGTTTTCTCTGAAAATCAGTAATTCCCAACGATATTTAGGTCGTGAATTACCTGTTCCCAAAAATGAGAGTTTATTTTTTATGCCGGCGAGATCACATCTGTAGTCCACTATTTTTAACTACGTACTTATAAATAGATAACTACGTTTGATAAGATAAGTCGAAAAAATATGAAGCTACATATCACCCCTGACTCAGTCTTTTTTGATAAAATCGTGAACCTGACCACGTCAGGCGTCAAGGTCTGATCGAATCGTCAGGGTTTTAACCTAAATTTATTAAAAAATTTAAAACATTACACTGTATCATTATAATCAACGTAGACTCATCACTTTTCAACTCACTAACAATTTGTGGAATTTCTTTTAAATTTATATATTTATTCTCAGGTTTTATGCCAAAAATATCGTATTTTTCCCTCAAATATTCCTTTTCATATTCTATATTTAAATGCATGTCTTCGAAAGTTGCTATAATTTTTTTAGATCCTTCTAATTTCCGGTTGTTTATATCATTAAAATGTTGAATAGCCTAAAACCAGCATTATTACCTTTGATCTATTTTTAATTTATTAGCACAGTGAGAGATGGGTTAAGGTTAACACCGAACTAGCACTGATCCTGAACATCTTGGGCCTTATCACTAGACGCCATCTAGTGATAACGCTGGACGTGATTTACTAACTGAGATCCAGTAGATTTTTCATTTAAGCTAAGTAAAGCACAAATTTGAGCACTCTGTTTTACCTTGATAACGGTCGTGTCTATAATCTTATGGGAAGTTACTTCCCGAACAACTCCTTAAGTTGGGCTATCCCACGAACACTAAGATACCGTAGGACTTAATCTTACGAAAATTTTCATCCAATCATTTGCTATTTTCTTCGATCAGTTCGACCTCTCTAATTTATCAAATCTATCAAAATACCAAAAGTCCCAATGCAAATTGGAATATTGCCGTAATTTGTGAAGACATTAAATATTTTTTCTTGTAATCATCGTCCAACTTTTCAATTAAAATTTTCCTTTCAGTTTGTCCAATTTCATTATCTTCATAATCATAGTGATCGAGATGCCCATACATACTTCCTAAACCTATCATGCGAACATAACGCAAAGTTCGTCCTTGTAACGCGTCTTCAACTCTTTTGAAAAACCCTTCTCTTTAAATTATATATATTTTTTATTCAAATGTATTTTATCTTTAAATATTTTAAGAGGTTCATTAGGAGAGACCATGCTCTTTTACAGACCAATTCTCTGGTATAAGCTAGAGAGCGACCGAGACGAGATCTCGATTAAAAATATCGGATATTGAGATCGAATTATTTTGAGATCTCTTTCTCACACGACTCTCCCAGTTCAATCTCTAGTATAAGCACACCTTAAGAAGTTTAAAAACGAAAGTAATATTAGAGGATTTACGATAATTAGACGTCCGAGATACAATAAATTTTAAAATTTCTTAAACAAACATTAAATTCTCATTTAACGAATTTTCTAGTGGGTGTTTCAAATAACGTATTGCTTCATTAACCATAGCATCATAATTATCAAATGTTTTCGGTTCCTTAAACAAAATTACTTGGAAAAATAATTTTATTAAATAGACCTCCATATAACTTTCATTCAGTATATCATAACCTAAAATAAGTATTTGAATTTTTAATAATATTAATCAAAAGAGACGTCAATGACCTAGACTCAAGCCCAAGATTTGATCACAAATTCAAGCTAGGACACAAAATGTCATGAATCGAGATCATCGAGACTTAATTTTTAGAACTGGAAGGAGTATCGGTACCAATGCCAGATATGGCTGATTCGTCTTCGGCTCATTTTTTCAAATCAATGCTCCTACTTAAAGCATCAGATTGTTTCAAAATTTGACACCCAGACCCTCAATTGGCACAACCGTTAATTTTAAAAAAAATTTTTAATCACCATTCCAGTTATCCAAAATATATTTTAGTTCTGTTATTCTGGGTTCCAGCTCGACATTTTCTTGAATATTTGAAGTTCTGGAAGATTGCCCGACAGATTTTTTAGTTTTTTGTTGTTTTCCTTTTTGCTTTCTTCCACCATTTACAAATTTTGTTAAAAATACGGTTAAAATTATAAATAAAATGAACCAAAATTTTATGTTTCTCATTAATTTGAAAAATAATAAATTTCTAAACTTTAAAAAAATATTGTAAAGCATACATATAGCGCTTATTAATTGATAAAGTTATGCAGGTTACTATGTAGTGTAATGGATAAATCAGCCCCGTCAACTGGACCAGTGTTAATCAAGCTGTAAAGAGCACCTTGATTCACTTTTTTAGATAAGGTCCTTTAATGTCTTTTCTAATGTAATGATTCCCATGAAAAAATGCCTCGTTAAATCTGAGGACTTTATCCACACTCAGAGCTATCTTAGTCCCTTTGTAGATATTTTTAATTTAAAATGATAATTTTTAATAGAAAATAATATAATAATAACACTAAACATGTCAATTTAAATAATACATAATTGTCATTTTTAATTATTTTCCGATTTCATCATATTAGTTTATTATTCATCATATTAGATATTATTTAGTAATTTAATTTTAAATAAATTAATAATCTCATGCAATTCTCATGTTAATTTTGTTATTTTTTAACGCCTTGTCTAATTTAATTGTCAATTTTATTGTCTTCCGCTTCCATAACGTTGTAGTAATTAATAAGCATCGCCGGACTTCTCGCCATCTTATTCTTCTGGTTCCTCATCCGAAAACAAATCGGAAAAAGGACTAAATTCAAATAGCATTTGCGCATCTTCATCATGTTGTTGTCGTCGAAGTGGGTCTATTAAAAAATTAAAAATAACGAAAAGTGTACTAAAATATTTTCCTGCAATATTTTATGGCAGATTTGATGTAGAAGGTTATTATTGGCGGTCTCGTCGAAGAAGCTTCAAATTAAATCTTTATAATGTTTGTAGTTAAATGAAAAATGATTAAAGTGTGTTACTAAATGATTAACAGCAATATTCTCCTTGGTACTGCAATATTTCTCCTTGGTCTTTCATATTCACTTTGCCCAGAAATTCCTTCAAAGTAGTACGGATGAATACCGGTCTTTCAATTGTTGTTTCAAATGATGATGCTGTTTTATGAAAAAAACGCTGTTTGTATGAAAAGGTTGAAAATGATGATCAAACTATAGTTTATCTAGTATAGTGAAAATGGAGGCGTATTGAATGAAAATAGTAAAATTTCGATACAAAGGAATAATGTAAAAGTTTAAAAAAACTGGTAAATAAATTCAAATATTTGAATATCACAAAGAAAAAGTAAACTAAATGAATCTCTTTGTTATTGTCTATAAGCATTTGAATCTTGTTGAACAATGAGGAGTTGAAAACGAGGCAGCCAAACTCAAACTTTGGCTTCCAGCAGCAGTAGATAAGAATAGTGAATTTTGTTGTTGGGCATCAAGGTAAAGTTGTTTAAAAAATTCATTGTTGTATGAACACATGGAATTTGGAAGAGCATAGGTTATTTAAACAAGGAGAAACCATATTTTTCCAAAAAAGCGGTCAACAACTAAATAGAATAAAGAAAAGTTTGGAGGTAAAGGACACAAAAAAAGGCTGAGAGAAATAAGGAAAATTTCCTTATTTTGAATTTGTTGAAGAAATTTTTTTACAAAAGCGAGATTATATTTTAAAAATATTCTTATCGTATAAAATGTTTTTAGTTGATTTCTAAAATGAATGATTCTATAGCGATGATTAAAGGACAATTGCCTGATTTGTAATCGCAAAGACCGTAAGGAAATCAAAACCAAGTTTAAAACAAGATTATTAAACTTTAATAATAATTAATTATGTTTTTTTCTAAATTTAGATCAAATTAAATTGTCAAAATTCATATCTTATTAAATAAATTTAAATATATTTATGCTACTAGTTGAAAATTTACGAAAAATTAATTTTAAATAATCTACTATATTGTTCACTGAATTAAAATAATTCATCAAAGTTTACCCATTTTACTCCTTTTCTTTTTTAACTTCATCCTTCTTCTTCTCTTTACCTTCCTTCTTCTCCTCGTGTTTAACTACATCCTTCTTTTCTTCCTCCTTCTCATCGTTAACCACTTCTTTCCCTTTCAACTTAACATCTTCCTTTTTAGCATCCTTTACTCCTTCCTTGTTTTCATTTTTATTATCCTTCTCTACATCCATTTTCTTCTCATCTTTAACCACTTCTTTCCCTTTAACTTTAACATCTTCCTTCTTTCCTTTTTTCTTTTCATCATTAACCTTTTCATCTTTAACTTCCTCCTCCTGTTCTTCCTTTGGAGAAGCTAACATTTTATTCATTTCTTCAACTCCCAGTTTATTAAAATAAATATATGTAACCACAGAAAGGAAATTGTTATAAGCCAAAATTGAATCAGGAAAAGCTTTGAGTTGTTCAAGTTTATTAGTTTTCATAAAGTTTAGTAGATATCCTCGTCCATCTTCATTGCGTTCATATTCATGTTGAATTGCAGATTCGACAAGAATCAAATTTTTAAGCTTATTATCTTTTTTATAACTATTTATTATTTCCCTTGCCATGTCCATTGGGCCTTAAATAATTATTATAATAATTTTAGAGGGGATATTAATGGTATGTTCTGTAAAAAATAAGGTCTCCTTTGAGCAGCTTGCGACAGAAAATATTTAGAAGAGGAAGAGAATCTCGCACGGGCTTCGTATCTTTTATCATCCAATACCTTTATGCATACTTGCATTCCTTCTTACCATTTTTGTAACAAAATCGGTGCGTATTTAGAGCCTTATTGTTGGGCAATTAATCCAACGACACGGTTAAGATTGTGGCAACAGCTAGTAAATTGTCGCTCTGGTACTAAGACAGTGCCCAATACCCCAAATAAGACCAGTGTCGCATTTCAAAAGGAAATGCGAAATCTAATTTCTCAAGCTTTGTAAAATTTATATAATTTTATCTTCTTAATCGTTCCCAGCAGCCTATTTATCTGGGAAAAGACAATTTTCCTTTCCTATTATTTACACAAACAATTACTAATCACTTCGCTATAAATATCCTTTCCTTTTAATTAAAATCGGTTCAGTTTTCTCAGTCCAAGTTCAGTTATTTTTATTATTCATTGTTTAGTTTCTCTTCAATTAAAGTCCCTGTTTCCCAGTTTATTGTTAATAAATAAATAGTTAGCTTATATTAAAAGAAATAAAACTCTATTGTGTTAAAAATCGATTGGAATTGAGTTAAGGAAAATAAAGTTAATTTATCCGAAACTAGCCATTTCGGAATAGCTCAGCCGGTGAAGAAAAAAAATCATGTCAGCCCCCTACCGCGATGAGTTGCGGTTTCTTTACGCGGACGCCACGGAAATTTTAAACAATAGAAAAGAATTTGAAATTCCCCAGCAATTAGGCAGTATCTCCCTTCACCATGCCAATATCCGATCAAAAATTTCTGCCCTAGATTTAGAATTAGACACCGTTTCTGAGATCCTAAAAGACATTAGTTCCGCCCATGACCGATGGATGTCTGTTCGTTCCGCAATGACAGGAGCGGAACGTTTAGCCGATAATCCCCTCTATGATGTTTTTGTTCTCGAAATTCCCTATATTTCGAGCCTTAATGAATTAAGAAATTATTCCCGAAGGCTTCGTGTAGCTAAATCAAAATTAGTAGAAGCATTACCCGATCCATCCAAAGCCACAGACACTCTATTCCACCTTCCAAAACTATCCCTTCCCAAATTTAGTGGTAAATGCGTGGAATTTACCTCCTTTTGGAATGCCTTTCGTGTCGGAGTCCATGAACTGACTAATATATCGGACTCTATAAAATTTAATTATTTAAAAGAATGCCTTGAAGGACCCCCTCTCTTACTCATAAAATCGCTTCCCCTTACTGAAGCTTCCTACCATGAAGCGATTCGTTTAATTAAAGAAAATTATGGAAATGTAAATGAAATTAATCGTACCCTCCACCATTCCATCCGCAAATTACCCGTCGTTCATTCAAAAAACGGTCCCGAAAATTTATGCGCAGAATTGCGCTCCTTTGTAGATCAATTTGAAGCAATCTACTTACAAATGCTGGAACAACAATTTGACGTCAATACACTCCCTGTACAAATGGAATTGGAATCTAAACTACCCCCTCAAATTCTGGAAGAAGTATTTGAAGCAAAAGAAAGGCTTGGAGGAGAATGGAACACCGACCGACTACGCACCACTCTCAAATTAATTCTGAAAAGAAAAGAAGGAATCAAAGCACTCAACGACCAAAAGAAGGAGCTCCACGAACAGATAAGTCCCTCTTATACGCCAAAACCATTTAGAAGTAATAGACCGATTAGCCCCTCTAACACACCACAGACCTCCCTAACCTTCTCCATATCCCAACCAAATAATAAACCAGGGACGATAAAATTCCCCTGTATTTTCTGTAATCAGCCCGATCATGTGTCCCACCACTGTCCAAACTATAACACGATATACACTCGCAAATCCCGGTTATATGAGAAAAATCTTTGTCTTAAATGTTATAGACCCGACCATATTGCGAGATTTTGTCAAAACCCACTTATTTGTACTCATTGTCATAGCTCACACCCCATAGCACTTTGCCCTAATTTATTTTGTCCCCAGATCAATCAACACCATATAGATTATTCTAATGAAGAAAATAATAGATCACAACAACAAGAAATTCCCCAGCAGCATATAAGTAATTTCTGTTCACAGATGATTCCAGATCCTCCTACACCTACAATCCCAATCCCGTTATCCCTGCTAAAATTTCCAGAAGATTTCAAGATTCCCACTTACCATAATAATTTACCAGAAACTAAAATCGAATTACTTCCTTTAAATGAAGTTAACTCCGAATTAAAGTCCCTTCCAATACCAGACGAGCCACAATCAATCCCCAGGTTAATCAGAAATTGTAATCAGATAAGCCAATTACCCTCTCCCGATCCCAGAACGAATTCCCATGAATTAACAATTCCCTTAGATAGAAAATTAAGAAATAACAATAAAATTAATTCTAGACACACGCCATCAAAGGCAATGAAAATTATAAAAATTAATAGGTCGAAACCAGGAATTTCAGTTCCCACAGATGAGGTGCCAAGTCAGACAATACAAAATGAATCTCCAGGCCCCCCAGGTGATGTGCCATCAGTCAAAGCGTGCCCTTCTTCCCCTGCAACAAAAATTGATTACCCTGGTTCAACCCCCGCTGCTACCGACAACCAACAAATCTCAAAAGGAACCTCACTAAACGACACGCCAACCACTACCGCCTCAAAAGTTAACTCAGCCGATCCCTCAGAAGAACAAACAGAAAAATTTCCAACACTCAGCACAAGAAATCGCCACAGAATATGGATCTCGAAGAAGTCAATCAAAATGTCCAGAAGTCCGAGGAATAAAGAAAAATCAGAAGTGAAGCCGATACCGTTAAAAGAAATTAAATTCGATTATAATCCGCTATATTATCCGTTTAGTTATTTTTATCCACCGCTTCCCCTTCTGTTTCCGTTTACTCATCGAGTTCCGCTATTTCTCAACGCTCTTCCGTATAATTTCATTAATGTATTTAACTTTATTCCACGTCATCTAGTCGGCCCGGAGTGTCGCATTTCAAAAGGAAATGCGAAATCTAATTTCTCAAGCTTTGTAAAATTTATATAATTTTATCTTCTTAATCGTTCCCAGCAGCCTATTTATCTGGGAAAAGACAATTTTCCTTTCCTATTATTTACACAAACAATTACTAATCACTTCGCTATAAATATCCTTTCCTTTTAATTAAAATCGGTTCAGTTTTCTCAGTCCAAGTTCAGTTATTTTTATTATTCATTGTTTAGTTTCTCTTCAATTAAAGTCCCTGTTTCCCAGTTTATTGTTAATAAATAAATAGTTAGCTTATATTAAAAGAAATAAAACTCTATTGTGTTAAAAATCGATTGGAATTGAGTTAAGGAAAATAAAGTTAATTTATCCGAAACTAGCCATTTCGGAATACCAGTGCTCCAACAGTCGAGTCGTAGCTAATGTGTGGATACCCTCTTTAAATAAACCTTACAAGGGTCGGAGCTTGAAAATTATGAAAAAAATTGCTCTGATTTTTTCGAACCTAGAAATTTTTAGAAAAATTTTTAGAGAAAAATTCCGGAATATTTTGGGAAACAATTTTTCGACTCTTTTTATTTTTGGGTATTTTTTAGAAAATCCTAATGTATAAATTCTGTTACATTCTAGCATTATAATTAATGTTGCTTCATCCTCCTCCATTTTTTCAACAATTTTAGGAATTTTGTATAAATTATTATTTGAATTTTTATTCTTTTTGGTTAAAGGATTTATTACATTAATTTTATATTTTCCTTCAATATATTCCTTTTCACTTTTATTTACATACAAATCCTCGAAAGTTCCAATAATGCTATTTTCATTATTTGTTTCAGATGATGAAGCAATGCCTTTTCCTTTATTTTTCAAGTCTATTTCTTCTTTCTTTTTTGGATGTTGTAAATTATCAAAATGTTCAATTGTCTAAAATTTAATTTTTAACAGCTAGACTGACAAGTAAATACACACATCACCGAAAAATAGCAAAGGCGATACTCCCTCTAACAAATGAGACAGCCTATCCCAAGGAGACAGTCTCTCCCTCGCAGCCTCTCTTTTGTAAGGGAAAGTGATGACATAAAGGATAAATTAAAAGTTCTGGAATTTTGTTCCTGAGTGATTTTCTCCCCAATTAATGGGTCTAGCGACATTTCCATCTCATCCCTGCTGGAACACCTACTGGTGTCGATGATGTAATTGAAGATTTATGATGATGAAATTGAAGAGATTAAATATTCCGTGGGAATAATTAATTCTGAGATATTTTTGTTCTCTATTAAAGAATTGGAAGGTGAATATTTCCTTAGGAAAGAAGGAATATTTTACAACTGGACTATAATTTCACTCCAATAAATATCTAGGAGATATCCTCAGAAGCTCCCATTCTAATTAACGAACCAAAAGTTGGACTGCAAATTGATACACTGCTCGAATCTGCGAACCTTGAATGAACTTTTTTTTGTAAACTTCAGGAAAATATAGAAAAGCTTCTCTAGACTTTTTCCCAATCTTGTCTTCCTCGTATATATCATGATTCGAATGAGCATGCATGCTTCCAGGGCCAATTAAACGAACATAACGTAATTTTCTTCCTTGTAAAGCTATTTCAACTCTTTCAAAAAATACAGACCTGTTAAAATAATTTATAAAGTATTATAAAAATTGTGAGGGAGCATCAAATTTCGAAAATTTTGGGAGGATTTCTTGTCATCTATAGAATTTTTTATATAAGGTTATAAATAAATTTCTCATTTTTGAATATTTCCGCCCTAGCAGAATGACCCTTCCTTGGATAGCCAAGTAAATCCTAGCGGACAGTCAAATGCCATGGGATTTGACATGAAGTCAACTTTAAGAAATAAAGACATGACCCTGTGAGTATCACACACATGACCCTGTGAGTCATGTCCTGTGTGCGAGCAGACTCCTTTGTTTGGAAGCTCGTA